CCAGAGCCAGTTCGTTGCCCCGCCCCCAACTCTCAAAGGATCCAACCAATGCCGCCAGCTCGGCCTGGCCAATGAGGACGCGGTTAGGGCGCTTGTGGACCGGCCCCGCTGCCGGCCCGCCCCGGGGAGGAAAGCCTCTAGGACCCGGGGAAGCCCGCCGGCCGCTCCACCCTCCCAGATAGCCCGTATGGGCGGTGTCCGAGCGCCGACCATGGGTCCGGGGGCAGACGAAAGCCGCGGGGCCGCCGAGGTTGCTCCGCCGCCTTTCGTGCGAGTCGCCCCCTCGCTCTTTCTCGGGAACGCGCGAGCCGCGAGAGCGACGGAGCTGCTGGCGTGCGCGGGCGTCACACTGTGCGTGAACGTCTCACGCCAACAGCCCGGTCCGCGCGCTCCCGGCGTGACCGAGCTGCGCGTGCCCGTCTTCGACGATCCAGCCGAGGACCTGCTGGCGTACCTGGAGCCCACCTGCGCCGCCATGGAGGCCGAGGTGCGTGCCGGCGGCGCCTGCCTGGTCTACTGCAAGAACGGCCGCAGCCGCTCGGCCGCCGTCTGCACCGCCTACCTCATGCGGCACCAAGGCCTCAGTCTGACGAGGGCCTTCCAGGTGGGGCGGGCCCTGCAGGTGTGGGGGCCTCTTGGTGGGCGGGGCTTCCTCGGGGGCGGGCCTGGGGGACTGGTAGCGATACTTCCGGGTTGGGCGGGGCTTTAGCGGCCTTCTGGACTATTAAATTAACTTCCTGTTTGCAGATGGTGAAGAGCGCCCGCCCAGTAGCTGAGCCCAATGCAGGTTTCTGGTCTCAGCTCCAGAAATATGAGGAAGCCCTCCAGGCTCAGTCCTTCCTGCCCAGGGAGCCCTTGGGGACAGCTCTTCCAAGCGGCAGCAAAGCCACCCAGCCCTAGGGATGATTCCTGACTGCTCAAGCAGAGCAAATGGCAGGGCCTGCGGCCCCAGGAAAGAAAAGGTGGGAAGGGTGCGCTGCTCTGATAGGAGGCTGGTCGCTCCCCTCCTTCCTCAATATTACCCAGAGTTTTCATGTTTCCCTCCATTTAGTCTCATCTCCCTGAATCGCAGCCCAAGCCTCTGTCCCCTCTTGGTGGTGCAGAAGTGTAGGAGGGCCCACACCCGGACACATACTGTCCCTCCGTCTGGTCTACTCGGTTTATTGGGCTTTGGCCAGAAAAATCTAAACCACTTGAATTTTATGCAGTCGGATGCAAGATGGAGGCAGGAAATTGAGGACAGGAGATCGGTGTCACAGGTACCCACCACCTGGATCTGAGCTCCCAGCTCAACCTTCTGCCAAGTCACAGTACATCTCCTGCCTCCCGCCTCGCACACCTCTCACTGGTCCCATGGCCTAGAAGGGGTGCAGGCCTGCAGGGCTGAGACTGGGGAACTGGAGAAGCAGGGGAACTGCAGCCTGTGCTGACAAACCACCCAGCCTGGGCACTACTGGGGCCTCAGAGTCTGTACCAGCCACCCACCTTGACCTCTCTGCTTCAGTCACTTTCATAGCCATTGTCAAGCCAGCAATGGACTGGTTCTCTCCGGTGTGGAGGATCCTGTAAG